TGAGGGTGCTTGTCCTCAGGCACTGTAAGCTAGGACACAATTCAATCCGTCAACCGATTTATTTTCCCACAAAAATTAAATTTACATTAGATAGCAACATTTATTGTGATCTTTGAATAATATTAATATTTAAAGGAAAATAAAATTCCAGATTCCTTAGGGGCCCTCCCCCCACATGGGGCCCTGGTAACTCAGTCCCCTTTTTCCCCCACTACGACGCCCCTGCCTGTAGGCGTGACAAATACCATATAAATACTTCCTTGATGCCATGGAAATTCTACAGCATGTCTTGTGGTGCACGCTTGTGGTAATACCACAATTGTGTAGTTTGGAAAACTTCATGTGCAGTACTCTTGTGGTAGGCTTGCTCAGACCAGCTCAGGTCTGCTCACACCTTAACAAGGGTGGAGGTGATCTCCCATTCCCTAACAGGAGGTAAAAGTAATGTAGATGGAGGATGTCTCCCACCAAGAACTCAAGCCAATGAGGATGAGACAGCTCATTGTTAAGTCTGTGGCAACTTAACAATGAAGTGTTAGAAGTGTGATGTCAATAAGCCTAATGTACAATTGTTATTAACTGTTTTTCCAGGAACAGTTAGGCAGCCATATCCCAGAGTAGACACATACACTCTCAAATGAGCAAAGGTTGCAGGGAAGGATGCAATGCATTCTAATAAAAAAATCTATATATAAATTATATTAGGGCTGCAACAACTAATCGATTTAATCGATTAAAATCGATTATTAAAATAGTTGCCAACTAATTTAATAATCGATTAGTTGGGTCTACGTTATTATACACATAAGTACAGTGGCAACCTCCTAATTTGGGAGCAGTAAGCTAACCAAAGCCGCGGTGGCAGTAAACCCTAGTGAAAAAAAAATATGCTAAGTATACTTGCAGCCAGACTAATTGTCAGTATACTTCAAGTGTGTTACTGATTAGTTAACTTGAAGTGTGCTATTTTGGAACAACTAATTTTGTGCTAAGTATATTTTAGTTGTAATTAAATTGTAGTAAAGCATAACTGTAAGTGTATTTAGTGTACTTTTATGTGCTAAATTGGAACAACTTCAAGTATACTTAGTACAATTTAAGTATATGCTGTGTAAGCTAATTGCATGCTTGATTAGTGATATTAAAGTATACTTTGTTTGTATTACAAGTATATTACAAATTAATTAAGGGTGTCTTCAAAATATACACACAACACACCATAAATATATTATTTTTGAGTAAAAATATGCAAAATTTTTCCCCAATGCTGAATGCACTCGTTGTCAGGGTCATTACAATAAATAACATGTAACTTCAATAACAGACAGATACACATAATGAACAACTCAAACAGTGTTTATTTAAACCTTACAGCATTGCAAAACAGTACAAAAAGCACAATTTTAAGAACGCTGAAAGAAAACAAACATAAAATTTAAACATTTTGGAACAACACACAAACTTCAATTTCTCTTGCTGAATTGCTCATTGTTACACTTGCGCCTGATGGCCGCTCGCACATCAGATGCACTTGTGTGTGGAAACTGTGCAAGAACAGCATCTGTTAACAAAGTAAAAATAAGGTCAGAGGGCATACAACAACTTCCTTCCACTACATCAGACTGTATTAAACCCAAACTACTTAATAAAAGTACATCATGGTTAGCAGTGAGGAAATGTATCACTATGTCATCTCCATATTGCAAAGCACTATACAAATTAATTTGAATATTTTATTTTATGAATAGTCAAAAAAAAGAGGTTAGATATTGGGGAAACAGTCCCCGATGTAAAAAAATAATAACAGAAAATACATCTGCAAGAAGTACAAAAGGTGACATTTATAGATGGATGTCTTTGGATACACCAAAATACTGGCTGACATAACTACCAGTCTCCAGAAGTACTTACAATTCATACTGTTACATATTTGTAATACAGTCACATCAATACTGTTAGTTTACAATTATACCTACAGTATGTACTTGTTCCTTAAGTAATACATTACTGAGAAGCAAAATATTTATATGTATTTAATTTCTTATATTTAATATTGAGTACTTACTTTTGTTGTATACTGTATTTAAAGGCTATTAGGGCTGGTTTAAAATACTGACTTTTCAATTGTAACCCGATTCTTATTTTGATGAACTGATGTCATTTCTTAAATCCCGATAATAAATTTTTCAGTCTAGCTGTTTTCAATTGATGAATAAACAAATCTTTGTAGTGTCCCTCTTATTCAATAAATAGCAATAAGCTTTGTGCTTTTTTTCCCTTTTGTTAAGAAAAATCTCTCAAATTATTTCGATTTCATTACGAATTTCAAACTATAAATGCCACTTTGGTGTGAGAGATTGCTGTAGTGCCTTTGGAAAATTGCGGACCTGTTATGGCCTGCACTTTTTCAGCATCCAGCTGTTTTTTTGGGGGACCCCCTCTCCCAGATTTTCCTGTCAGGGTGGACTCTGCGAGCAGGTCCTTTGTGAACACCAGAACAGCCAGCTCCTGGGCAAAAATGGTCATACGAGATCTGTTCAGCCGTTGGAAGGCCCTCTTCGGAACACTCACTTCACTTCCAGCCAAGCAGTACTGTGTAAAGAGCGGGAGGGAGACAGAAAGAGAGAGCCTCAACTGACAAATTAATACATAGTTGGGAGATGTACCTATGAGGAGTAAATTTTGTTCCAGTATGAAAATAAATGTGCTTAAATCAAGCTATTTTTTTTTTTAAAAAGACTGCTAGTAGTCTGTTAGTTTCACGATGGAGTTGTATGGCAGCCGGTTAAAATTTGTGGTTACTCTTGTAACCTTACAGTGCTGAATTTCAATTTCAGTTTGTCCTGCATTTAACCTTGCCAGTTTAAACTTTCAATCAATTTTACGTCATTTAAAGTCAATTTAATGTGAAATGGACTCAATTCATTACTTACTTGCTGTTCTGACAGATGGATCACTTTAATATTGATCCATTTTACCATAAAGTTACATGGTAGAGATTCAGCATTCTAAACATCAATGAATTAACTATGGATGTTATCCCTTATTTGCAAAATACCATTTCAATTTCATTGACCACAGTACTAGATGCAGATGACATTCCTGATGAGGGGGTCCCACCGGGTGAGGGAATCAAAGACCGGACACACTGCACACACTCCTTCATTAATTTAATCATTTCTGGGAGCTCTATGTGACAGTAAGGGGGGAAAAGTAAGTTAGCGTTGTTTGACTAATAAGAACATTTGTCTTGTGCATCTTTGACACTTGACAGATGGATAAAATGTAAAAGCTGGCCAGCATTACAGGAATATTGGTACTAATGTTCAGTGCAGGGCAGTCATGCCTATTGTGGGACTTTGTACTGTAATGTCAATCCCTCCAATGCCAACCTGAATACCTACCACGAAGGGATGTCATGATTTCTTCATCCATCTGGGACAGCATTTTCGGCCCAGTGTTAGCATCATTTATCTGCAAACAATGAAATACAAGCACATTTAAACTTTTTATTAAAGTCATTAATGTGTTTGTTATAATAATAAAAAATGTCAGGAAAGAAGCAGAAAAATAACAATTAATGATGCTGAAATTTAAATATTACTGTAAAACAGTTGCAGGCCTTTACACTAAGGACTTTTGCTACTGCCCTGCTCAGGCCAATGCTTCAAATTCTTACTTGGCCAGCCAAAAATTCACTGGTCCCACCAAAAATCAAAGTAATGACATAAATAAAAATAAATAGACATGCGTCATTAATTACTCACCCTCATGTCATTTCAAACCCCTAAGACTTTCGTTAATGTTCAGAATGGAAATGAAGATATTTTATTTTTATATCAGTGAACATAAACAGCTTGTTCTGCAAGTTCAAACATGCTGCAAAACACACATTGGTTACGCAGCATGTTTAATCTTCCAGAAGATGCTTGTTCTTGCACCTCATTCAGGTTCGGTTGCGCTGCTGTTTATGTTTGCTATCAATGTTTATATGTGGGTAAAAGCTAGAATTAAATCTGTTCATAAAAAGCGATCAAGCCTCTTCAGAAAACATTAAGTAAACCACTCTATTCATATGGATTAGCTTGACAGTCTCTTATGAACTTTTTGATGTGTCAAATTGTCAATTGCGTAGCTGTCAATGGAGGGACAGAAAGCTTTCACATTTCAACAAAAATATCTTAATTTAAGTTCCGAAGATGGAACTACATGAGGGTGAGGAATTAGTGACAGCAGTTTATATTTTTGGTGAACTAAAACTTAAATAGTGCAAGGTTTCTAAGATGAATTACAATGATAAAAAAAAGATAGGGTTGTGCAAGTAATTGAATTAGTTTTGAATTCGCCTGCAAGCAATCATGAAAAATTACAGATGAAATTAAAGAATTAGTTGTGCTGCAATCATTCAAATAATGTAACAAAAGTGAAAAGAGCACATTAAACTGTGGACAGAATCCGTGCATTCAGTCTTAAAATGACAGCCATTCGCTGCAGTCTGCATTTTCTACAAAACAAAGGAAACATTTCAGTTGGACATAAATATTAAAAGGTAAGATCGTGTTTAAATCAGGATATTATTATTTTTACATTTACACACCTGTGCATGACACATAGAATAATAATAATAAACATAAAAATTCATTACGTTTACATTAAGCTTTCATTGACAACCAAAGCGCTTTACATATGAAAGGGAGGAATTTCCAGAACCAACACCAATGTGCAGCATCCATCAGGATGATGCAACGGCAGCCATATTACGCCAGAACGGCCACCACACACCAGCTTATTGGTGGAGAGAAGATGGAGTGATGAAGACAATCAGTATATATGGGGATGATTAGGAGGCCATGATGATGAACAGAGGCCAATGGGCTAATTTGGGCAGAATGAGTAAAGAAAACATACTTGGGGTGCAGAGATGTTCTTCTTAGGAAAAGAACTGACAAATTTGAATGACATTTAAAAATTTCATCTGACAGTTATCTTTTCAGCTGCAATACATTATATATATTTAGTCCAGTACTGACAAATATGTGTCTCCCCTGTGTCATGATACGTATTGTGACTTTGTTGCCGATACACAGCCCCATTGTTTCCTTAAGGCATAATTGATTGTGTGGATTACTTGCCAAGACAAGCATTTCAACATAAATTTGTGTGTATTTGTCCATTCAAGCAAAAGAAGATGTGTGAAAGAGAACTCAATTTGGCATTTGCGAGCTTGCTGAGACCTAGCTTTATGTACATGCCTCAGATATGTGCGCAAAGAACACATCTCACACATTGGAACTACCTAATTGAGTTCTCTTTTGTATCCTCTTGCACTTGAATGTTTAAACACACAAAAGAGCAGTAACTTTGTAAAATTAATTCAATAAGAAGAATTTTCACTTCAGTTATAATAAGACAGTTGTGTCATTATTCAGCACAATTCTTTTCAAGTTTTGCTCATCCAATAGTGTTACAGCAGTCAAATCAACAATATTGCTAAATTGTCCCTGCCAAGGGAGCACAAACCCCATCAGGTGACAGAAATGGATAAAAAACCTTTGGAGAAAGTCAACTTGCCTTTCTCTTGGTTGAGGTTAGACCACACTCTTCATCTGAGTCATTGGCCTGAAACTTAGAAAAAATGATAAGAGATTTGTGAAAATCAAGAGAGACACAATTTGTGTACAGGAGAGTACATAGATAACAGATAACTTACCATTTCAGGACTCCCTATGTTTGTAGCATCATCAGAACTGGTGTGATGATCTGGATGGAGTGGGCTTGCTATGTTTGTGGCCTCATCAGAACTGATGTGATGATTGGAAGTGAATGCCAGGGGTCTGCCAGCCTTCTTAGTTTTTGCTTGCTTTACCTGGACAAAAAATGTTAATAAAGGAAAAAATAAAGAAAAACACCAAACAAAAATAAAACAGGATGCTAGGTTCACAAGTGGTGGGTGGGGAGAGACTCCTGATATGATTTTAAAGCACGTTAGGTGTAAATTAGTACATATTAAAGTGCTATGCTATATAAATGCTTCATTTATTCTGATTGAATTAAGTACAGTTCATTTTTTTTGTCAGGTCCTGTTTATAAATCATTCAAACTATAAAAATGTACCAAATCCTCAATAAGACAGTATGCATTACATTTTGAAGACATTGTGGAACTTCATCCTCAGAGCTGGTTTGTTGATCTTGTGTGTCTAGGGCCCTGCTCTGAGAAAGGGAATTCTTCAGTTTTTGTAATATCTGGTCTCTGGCTATCTCTCTGATCTTGGTTTGCTTTGCCTGAAAAAAAAAATGTAGGAGGGTAATAAATTTAAAAAAATGTTAACATCTTCACAATGTCACATTCATGCTGATATACTGAAATTTGATGCAGGTTTTTTTCTGATTAGAAAATATTTTGGCAGCAGGAACAATGAATATTTGTCTGGCCAAAGCTTTATTTGATCATTTATTGTAATATCTGAGATTACTGCTTTGCTGGAGATGGCAGCATGACACACTTTATTTATAAGCTTAATGTGATTAGAACAGTGTGAATAAAAATGCTGCATGTATTTCATGAAACTCATAACTTCTTGTTCTTTGGCTTTTTATGAAATGGCCTTCCAATTAAAAAATACTGTATTTTTTGTATACTGTAATTTTTTCCCATTACTTGTAAAAGTCTTACTTGTGGACCTTATGCATGAGAGAGGTCTCTATAGCTTCGACTATGAATGAAACATCTTATTTGAGTACAAATAGAGAAAAACAAAGTGACGTTACTACTCTTCATGAAAGACGTTTAAAAACGCACATGAGAATCCATATGTTTTTTTTCCCAAATGAGCACAATTGTGGACTACTTGAGGTACAGAGTTTAGTTAGGGACTTGCGAAGGATGCGTAGATAGGCTCATATTTAATATTACATGCATGGAATCAATTTTCATTTAGCATATCTTCTGGCAAATTAAGAAATTACTCTCACTATGAGAGCAAACTGTCAATATTACATAAAGACCTATGTATCCACTCACCAGCCTGGCTTTTTTAACCTCCACCTCGTTGGTGTCCAACATTTTCTTTTTGACGTGAACACCCTTGCTTTCATTCCATATGTCCTTTCCCAAAAGAAACAGGTTTTTCTTTATGACGAGGTCTTTGAACGAATCTGATAACAAGTGTACAAAAAGTTTAGCACAAAAT